TCATTGTCCCAACTTTTAGAGGAGGCTCCCGTTTAGAATGCGGCAATCATAGGGGGATCAGTCTGATTTCGATTGCCTCTAAATTGCTTGCCTCTGTCATTCTCCAAAGACTGACTAGCACTCGTGAAAGCCAGATTCGTGAAGAGCAAGCCGGATTTCGTCGAGGTCGGGGCTGCATCGACCACATCTTCACATTGCGTCAAGTGTTGGAGCATCGCTATGTTTATTGGCAACCCACCATTGTCGTGTTTCTTGACATAAAAAGTGCTTTCGACTCAGTCGATCGATGTGCCCTTTGGAGCTGTCTGCTGAGGAAAGGTGTGCCTGATAAATATGTAAACATTATCAAAGCGCTGTACGCGCATAGTTCGGGCAGGGTGAGGGTTTATGGCAAACTCTCGCCACCCTTCAGTATCACCAGCGATGTGAGACAAGGATGCCCGCTGTCACCTTTCCTCTTCAAATTCGCTATTGATGAAGTCATGGAAACAACGCTCGCTGGACACGACCTAGAAAGTGTGGAGCTACTTCCTGGTGAGCGACTTCTTGACTTGGAGTATACGGACGATATTGCCCTAATCTGTGACAGCTCCCAAACATGCCAAACAGCACTGGACCGATTAGTACTGGCTGTCAATCGTTTTGGGCTATGCTTTGCTCCATCGAAATGCAAAGTACTTCTCCAAGATTGGCAAGGACCCAACCCTGCGCTAACGATTGGTGGTGATCTGCTAGAAATCGTTCAGGAATTCAAGTACCTGGGCAGCTATATTAGCACCCGTGGGATTGAAGATGAGGTTACAAACCGTATAGCAAAAGCTCGAGCTGCGTTTGCCAATCTACGCGACCTATGGCGCAGACGCGACATTACTGTCGCCCCGAAGGGCAGAGTTTACAACGCAGCCGTCCGTTCAACTCTCCTATATGGCTGGAAACCTGGCCCATCAGGTCGACAGACATGAAGAGGCTCGTCACATTCGATCATCGCTGCCTTCGCAGCTAAGCTCATGTCTGGTGGGAGCACCGCGTGAGCAATGAGCGTGTTCGACATCGAGTATTTGGTGCAGGAAGAGCGAGTGAACCGCTCAGCACGATTATATCACGTACCAGGCTCCGATGGCTGGGCCACGTGTTGCGCATGCCAGCACACCGACTCCCGCGACGTGCATTGTTTGCGCGTTGTGGGTGCGGTTGGAAAAGGAGGAGGGGAGGCCAAGTGATGACTTCGTCGAGAGTAATGAAAACCCTCACTTCGAAGTTGGCGTCGGTTGGTGCATCCCGACTGCCTGGCTGGGGTCCTAAGGACGGTGAACACGTTTGGTTGGACACACTTGCTGATATGGCTTGGAGCCGACCCCAATGGCGTTTGTGTTGTGAGTTCCTTTGTCCATCCCCCTCCTGCTTAGCATCCCCCTCCAATCACGATCTCACTTGTTAGGCAGCCAGCTGTTAGCTCTCCGGAACAATGTCCATCCTTTACTGGGGACTCAGCGGGCGTGCCACTGTTTGTTTTTTCTTTTCTTGTCTTTTTTATTGCGGCATAATAGCTGAGGAGTTTTCCACCTCCAGCTAACGTGTATCATGATGATGGTTGACGCGAAGCAACGTCGTCTGATCGATAGTCAAACAAATCTGGCATTTATAGGTACTTTGACCGACATTGAGTCAATCAGTCCTGTATACGCCAACCAGTCAAGCTCACCTATCGGTCAGATGCTTAATATCAAGTTCCCGCAAGTCTTTCGTGCAATGGCACCGTTTCCATCCGCCACTGATGCTGTAAAACATCATATCGTTACCAAAGGTCCGTCTGTTTTCGCCAAAGCCAGGCGAATGACCCCTGACAAGTTAAAAATTGCTCGCGCAGAATTCGAACACATGCTTGAACTAGGCATTGTTCGCCCGTCTAAAAGCCCGTGGGCGTCGCCGCTTCACACGGTGCCCAAAAAGTCAAGAGACTGACGTCCATGTGGTGATTACCACGCGCTCAATAACGTTACTGTTCCCGACCGCTATCCTATTCCTCACATTCAGGACATCACGGCAAGCCTGCGCGGCACCCGTGTGTTCTCGAAAATCGATCTGGTTCGCGCGTATCACCAGATTCTCGTCGCTGAGGAAGACATACCGAAGACTGCCGTAATCACGCCGTTTGGGCTCTTCGAATTTTTGCGTATGCCGTTCGGTCTTCGCAACGCAGCGCAGACTTTTCAACGATTCATCGACTCAGTCACTAGAGGTCTAGATTCCGTCTATCCATACATCGGCGATATCCTAGTTGCCAGCGTTTCTAAAGAACAACACGCAGGACATCTAAAGATTCTTTCCGATAGGCTGGCCGCTAATAGCATCACTGTCAACCCTGACAAATGCGTATTTCAGCAGCCTTCCGTCGAATTTCTTGGCCACCATATTGATCAATATGGCATACGGCCTCTAGACGATGGAGTCCGCGCCATCAGAGACTTTCCGGTCTTGACTACGTTAGCCGCTATTCGCCGTTTTAACGGCATGCTCAACTATTATCGACGTTTTCTTCCACACTGTGCCAATTTGCTAAGTCCACTAACCGACCTACTTCGTGGACGTAAAAACGGTCAGGTGGAACTGACTGCCGCTGCTGCCGAAGCGTTCAAAGCCAGCAAAGAAGCCTTAGCCAAAGCCGTTATGCTTCATCATTTCGATCCGAACGCTCCGCTCAGTGTTGCTGTTGACGCATCGGACACCGCCATTGGCAACGTCCTACAGCAACATATAAATGGATACTTGAAACCTCTTGCTTTCTACTCTAGACGCCTACAACCTGCCTAAGTCAAGTACAGCACGTTCAGTCGTGAACTGCTGGCCGTTTACTCTACCGTTCGGCATTTCCGACACGTCCTTGAAGGTAACCCCTTCATTATCTTCACCGATCACAAGCCGCATTCCGAAATCAATCAGCTCGACACTCACCACGTGAGGTCCGTCAGCTGGATTTCATTGCCCAATTCTCGACTGATATCCGACACATTTCTGGTCAACAAAACGTCGTTACTGATGCTCTTTCAAGAGTATCTGCGATTGGCCCTGCCGGGCAGGCAATCGATTTGTCTGCTATGGCCGCCGCGCAATCAAACTCCGTGATTCCTCTTTGAAGATATCCCCACACCCTATACCGTCATCTGATGATACAATTTTATGCGACACATCTGCCGGACGACCTCGACCCGTCGTTCCGGAAACTTTTCGCCGTATCGTTTTCGACACCCTCCACAATATCGCCCATCCAGGCATTAAAGCTACTGTTAAGCTTGTCTCCGAGAGATATGTTTGGCCGGGGATGCAACGCGATCTTACGCGCTGGGCACGCAGCTGTCTCACCTGTCAGCAAGCCAAGATTCAGCGGCACCTGTCCGCTCCGCTTGGTCGCTTTCCGTCCGTTCCAGCGCGATTTGCTCATGTCCATCTCGACATAGTGGGACCTCTGGCCCCGTCCAAAGGAATGGTCTACATTTTGGCCATGATCGATCGTTGCACCCGTTGGCACGAAGCCGTTCCCATCCCTGACGTAGCTGCGGAAACCGTAACGCGCGCTTTCTTCGCGCGCTGGGTCGCTTCACACGGCTGTCCAGCCACGGTGACGACATACCGCGGTCCGCAATTCGAATCTTCGACCTTTAATGATCTCCTTAAACTCATTGGATGCCGACGCATTCGCACGACCACCTATCATCCGCAAGCGAACGGCATGGTGGAACGTTTCCACCGACAGCTGAAAGCTTCACTTAGCGCCGCCAATGCACTGAGTTTGACTGAGGTACTGTCTATGATCCTCCTTGGGATTCGATCAGCCCTAAAGGCCGATCTACGTACGTCTAGCGCCGAGTTAGTATATGGACAACCACTGCGTTTGCCTGGCGATTTCTTTTCTGATAGTCCCAGAATTCCCCGTTACGACGCGAATTATGCACCACAGCTCGCCGCGAGCATGCGTTATTACAAGCTTCCCGACGTTAGAGAACGACGTAAATCTTTTGTTCCACAAGACCTACAGCGTTGTCCGTTCATTTTTCTCCGCCTCGATGGTCTCCGCAGACCACTGGAGCGACCTTATGAAGGTCCTTTCAAGGTGCTGCAGCGTAAGGACCGCGTCTTTATCATCGACCGTCACGGTAAACGAGAAGCCGTTACGATTGACCGTCTCAAGATTGCCCACGTGGAACCTGAGCTCGATGAAGACCCTTGCTCGTCTTCGGAAGAATCAACCCAGCCTATGATGGAAGACTCGCCTGCTTCCAACATCCCTGAACCCAAGCATCACGCTCCATCCAAGCCTTCCACTTCAGCTCCGCCGTTTCCCATCGAACCAACCGCCACGTCTTCAGCAGTTCCTCCAATTTTGCGATCCGATAGGACGTCTAAGACGACGCCTTCGGTCGGTTTGAACCCTCAATCTTTCCCCAAACGCTTAATACCTACGTGGAATATGCTATTCAGGCGTGGCAGAAACAGGATCTTGTTGCTCTCGAGACTTCTCAACGTAGGGCAGTCAAGAACATCAGGGGCCTTTTTCATCTGCCCTGTCAGCTTAGACTGAAATCTTTAAGAATGTACAGCAGTCAATATCGGCTTTGCGGGGGGATCTCATAATGGTTTACCAGATTCTGAAGAACCCAAAGCACATTTGCCGTCCGCTGCTGGAATTGAACCACAACACTAAACTAGGAGGTCACCCTCTGAAACTGACAATTCAGTATGGCCGGCTTGGATACCGTGGAAATTTCTTTTCCATCTGCGTGTGCCAGCCTTGGTACACCCTCCTTAATTATGTCCTCTCTGCTCCCAATTTGGAAATATTTAAAAGAACTTGTTGACGATGCATTTTCTCACTTACGTTTCATTTTTTGACTTGTTAGGCAGGGGCTACAAAACGCAAACGGTGTCTTGCCAAACGTCTAACTAATAGATTTATGGATTTATACGTTTAATACGTGAACACCTCCGCTATTCCACATAAGTCTATGGTGAGTCCACCACAACGCTTTCCATTTTATCATACAATTGATTTTCGCAATATTTTCCATCCTACGGGACTTGTTAAGCAATGCTTTTTTGCCCGTAATAAACCATTGTTCCATCGTATGATTTCTTGCACCTGGTTGTTAACTTTTCCATTTTCATAAGTTTAACACAATTCCTTCTAGCATCCGTTTCTTTTTACACTCTATTGGTCTTTAACCCTACCATCTTGCCGTTATTTATTGTTATTCTTGCGATGTGAGTCTTACCAACTGGGTCCACCGCACTTTGGTGATGAGTGGCGCCGAGGTCGTGGCTGCATTGACCACATCTTCACTTTGCGTCAGTTGTTGAGCACGTCACACATATTGGCGGCCCACTGTTGTCGTGTTCCACGATATCAAAGATGTACTCCATTCAGCGGATAGACGTGCACTTTGGGACTGTCTACTCAGGAGAGGCGTACCTGAGAAATATGTAAATATTATCCGATCATTATACGCGCGTAGCTCAGGCAGAGTGAGGGTTTACGGCAAGCTGTCGTCGCCCTTTAATATCCTCAGCGGTGTGAGACAAGGATGCCCGCTGTCACCTTTCCTCTTCAACTTCGCTATTGGCCGGTGGCCGAGTGGTCTGCACGTTTGCTTTGCAACTATAAGGTCACCGGTTCGAATCCGCGTAGGGGTGGGCGTCATCGCGGTATACTCAGCCCGCGCTCGACTGGTGGTGGTCGCGCAGCAGCGAAGCGCCCTTACGGCGTACAGCTGACATTCAACTTCGCTGTTGACAGTCATGGAAATCACGTTCATAAAACACGACAGAAGATGTGGATCTTCTCCAGGAGAACGACTTCTTGACTTGGAGTATGCTGACGGTATCGCCCTAATCTGTGACAGCTCCCAGACGTGCCAAGCGGCACTGGACAGATTAGCTTTGGCTGTCAGCCGCTTCGGGCTTTGCTTTGCACCCTCGATGTGCAAAGCGTTCCTCCAAGATTGGTAGGGATCGTCTCCTGCGCTGACCCTCGGTGGGGATCAGCTAGTAGTCGTTCAGAAATTCAACTACCTGGGAAGTTGTATCAGCACTCGTGGGATTGAAGATGAGATCACGAACCGTATAGCATAAGCTCGGGGCGCTTTTGCTAACCTTCGCCAATTATGGCGCCGGCGCGATATCACTCTTGCCTTGAAGGGTAGAGTGTACAATGCAGCGGTACGTTCGACGCTACTGTACGGTTGTGAAACCTGGCCGCTTAAAGCAGCGGACCTGAAGAGGCTAGTTACGTTCGACCACCGGTGCCTTCATAATTTAGCTCACATCTGGTGGGAACACCGCGTGAGCAACGAGCGTGTTCGACGCCTTGTTTATGGCACAGGAAAAGGAAATGAACCGCTCAGCACCGTTATTTCACGCACCAGGCTCCGATGGCTCGGCCAAGTGTTACGCATGCCAGCCCACCGACTCCCGTGACGTGCGTTGTTTGCGCGGCGGGGGTGTGGATGGAAGAAGAGGAGGGGTGGCCAAGCGATGACTTGGTCCAGAGGAATGAAGGCCCTCACTTCTGAGCTGGCTTTGGCTGGAAAGTCTCGGCTCCCTGGTTGGGGTCCGAAAGACGATGAACACGTTTGGTTGGACACACTTGCTGATATGGCTAGAAGCCGACCTCAGTGGCGTTCGTGCTGTGAGTTTCTTTGTCTCACTCCATCTCTTTTAGCTTCCCCCTCCATCACGACCTCATTATTTAACATTTTATAATTTTGCATGGCAAATTATTTTTTTTTCTGCTGCATAGTAGCCGGCAGATAGCTTACCGAAATGATACCCATTTGTTATCGATAGCTCAGCTGGCTTGCACCTGTTGCATTTTATTCCGTTTTTCTTTTAGGTATTGCGGCACAGTAGCTGAGGTGTTTCCCACCTCTAGCTAACGTGTATAGTGTGTGTGTGTGTGTGATGAGTGGCACCAATCTAACCGCAAGGGCGAAAGAATGCGTCGTTGTGGTGGTAGGCTGCAGCATTAATCACGCTGGTTGCCTAACGAACGGGCGAGCTGAGCGGATTTCGGCCGACCGTCTGAACGCTGATCGATCGACGCCAGTCAAACAAGAACGCCCACGCATATGAACGAGTAGCGCCTCATAAACCCGCACGGCCAGTTGGCTCGATCGATGGATATGCGAAGTTTCTGTCAGCGGGAGGCCTTCAAGGAAAAACGAATTGGATTTGCCCAACGGTGCGCAGTTTGTTTTATAAATAATATGTTAACTTCCGATCAAATGGATTTCTGATCTAGGCCTAGGCTGGTTTTTGATTCACGGAAGGTCACGCGACAGTCGTGTCCTAGGGAATGCGAGTATGGGAATACTCGCCGTTTTGCTGGGCCAGTTAAGATGGCTCGATCACATCCTACGCATGACGCCTGAGCGTTGGCCGCGCCGCGTTCTAATCCTCCGTTCAGGACCGGGCTGGAAGCGACCACGTGGTTGTCAGCCTTCCACTTGGTGACAACACATGGTGGAACCTCGGAACGTTCAATTGTGGGAGACCGTTTCAGACACGGCGCGGTCACGAAGCCAGTGGCGTTCCTGCATTCAGCTTTTTCATCTAGTTGTTAGTTCTCTTTTCATTTCTCCCTCCTTGCTTTCGTTTTCTCTACACTCTAGTTGCACTTGTTACTACTGCGCTCTTCGCCTGAGACTACGACCGTCTATCTGTTTCACCACGCATCCAACCAACCGAAGGAAGCCAAAAGCCTAAGGCTTGATAGACAGGGTGTACTTTATAGAATAGGTCGTATCTATTTATGAACGAATCATACATACGAACTTCGGAAAACATGGCCATCCAATCTTCGGCGTCTGGCTTAGCATATGTGAGCGAGTTCCATCCCACTGGTTTGCTAAATATGGGAGAAGCGTTCGCCTCCGCTCAAGCCCCTAGACGCCTGCTTGAATTCGCTGGCCAATCAATTCGTCCCTCATTCCCAAATTTTACCAGAATAGGCGAACGTGATTTCTCTGCTGCGCGCATGGCGTTCACACGTAGCTGACTGATCACCTGCTGCTCGGCAAGCTGATGAGCGCTTTAGCCACGCGCGTTGCCGCCTTGCGCGCGGGCATTGGCTCCAACTATCCTACCTGTTATTTTTTGTTATTGTTACAGTGTGCTCGGATTATACTTGTTCAACTGTATTGAGCTGATTCTATCCTTGACTATGACGCTGTTTCCTCTCCACTATACTACGCTCAATCTCTCCAGATTTACCGATCTGGAGATATATCTTGCACCAGTGTTTGTTTGTCTTCCAACCTCTGTTGGCATTGGGGCTGATTGACCCCAGGCACATTATAAATATATATGACAGACGTGAACGGTTTCAATCCGCAACATCACGTCCCGTTCCTTCCCAATGCCAACCCGTTTTTGTTTTCTTAAAGCCATTTTTACCTCTTTAGGTAGATACGAAAGCGGACAGCTCTTCTGATAATGATTTAAACAAATCCGTTTCGCGATGCTGAATGTCGCTTGTTTGTCGTTTGGTACCGTAGTCTGCTGCGACAAGCCAACGCACAACTTCCACTCACCTAACAATTTACTCTTGCCGCCTTCTGAACGGGGCTACAGATCGGGACTTCTTTGCACGCCAGTCACCAGACCCCCCGTCAACATATTGTTCTATTTACCGCGATCAGTCCCTCTGAGTTTGATCGTCATTAATCCTAATTTGGGAAGACACAAAGTGAGTTGCCTTTCCATATTCATTAGTCGTGACACAACTGTTAAACGCAAATTGCACGGCGATACGCTGAAAGCAACTCCAGAAGAACTCATCAGGCGATTTGACAGTGCATCAGTAAGTCCAAGCAGCAAATCATCTTCTCTAGCCCTTTGTTTCATTGAATTTAAACAACCACCCCCCAAACACTCTTATCTCGATACGCCTGTCCGCGGGACAGGAGGTTCCGTCGACATCATGTTTAGCCTCGGCTGCCAGCATACTGTCATGCGACAATAGCTCCGAAAGTAAGCCATTACCCCCATTGTGTGCGTTATTTTGGCCTTTCAGAGCGATGTGACCAACCACCACGTGTGCGCGTAGTCCTGATCCGTGTGACTCGATTAATGGATGCCAGCTGTATTCCCTGCATAGGCGCAGTGGAATTGTGGTCCCCTGCCATCTCGATGAACATCAGCTACGAACCTTTTGCCCAGGAGAAACTCGTGGATGAAAAAGGTGCGTCGTCTTTATTATACTCATCTGTATATTATTCGATTGGGTTTTACCACAAGGTCTGTTGCAAGCTGCAGGTTATTTCTGCCCAATTTAAATTTCTAAATAAAACAATGAGAAAACTGGTATTGCGAGATTGAACCATTTCGTGTTATCTGTGCCCTCGCAAACTAACAACACAAATACGAGTCACGTGACAGAAAAATCAAAGGTTTGAAACTGGTCACAAAGGAAAATTACATAAACGCAAAAATAACAGATCAACGAGCTTGCTCTTAGGATTATCAGCCTCAAGGAAGCTTTAAGGAGACTGTTAATTGTTTCTGTACACAAAGGTTAAGGCGATACCGATTAAGTGACAGCTTCGGCAAACCTCAAAACTTCGGGGTTTTCATTTCGATAGATAACTGTAAATGTTGACCCAGGGTCAACCTGATGGCATGTTTCGATTAGATGTCTGGCGATAGATAATGCTGGCAGCTTAGATACTTTTTTCTTTTTCGGCTGCTTGCTGTGTCGATAGTTTAGTAATCCGTTTTGAGATATGCTCTCCAATGAGCTTACCCTAGGATTGATCTGTTCTGCCAATGTAATCACTTCCGCAGTTACAAACGAATTGGTAAATACAATGGGTTGTGGCGGAGATCGGTTGAGTAGGCTTCACTGGAGGCATAGGTAACTTCCTGGTCTCCCAAATGGGACAGAATTTGGTGGCATTGAATGTTCGGTGAATCGCTGTATGCAAACGTCTTTCAAGTTGGGCGGCCACGATATCACCTTTGAAAAGTAATTGAAGGTAGACAGGCAGTTTGGGCACAGTAAGTACCCTCGGCCGGTTTTCATCCAGTTGACTGTGGAATCGAATAAACACCTCTGGATATCCGTTGGCCCACAGCGTCTGTGTGATAAACAGCAATTCCGATTCCAAACAGTCGTCAGTGCATATTCTGCGGGCTCGATTAAACAGCGTCTTGACTAAGCACCACTTGTATTGGATAGGGACGAAGCTGTTGAAGTGTTCGTACAGTCCTGTCCATGTAGCCTTCCTATGAACAGAACGTTTTATAGAGCCGTCTTCTGGTCTGGTCAACAGTACGGAAGGCAATTATTATCGTCCAGTTCACAGGTAAAACGGGCGTTTGGATTGCGTTATCGAGCACATTGAGAAAAGATAGAACAGCGTCTCCACTTGGGGCGATCACTAGTGTGTCATCTAAGTATCGCTTGTATAAACACATTTGATTGATGTGCGGCTCACATCTTATTTCAACCATCGTCATGAAGATGTCAGCCAATACCGGACCAAGCCGACTTCCCATGGCTACACCAGCCACCTGTCGGTACGGTTTGTCTTCAAATAAGAAATGCACATTTTCCGTGCATAGTAGAAACAAATCCCTAAGATATTCCACGGGAATCGGTAACGCTACTTTATTACTCATGATAAACTTACATAAGAAATCCACCTTTTCTCTTAATGGAATGTTAGTGAACAAAGACTGTACCTCCATTGAACACATTACCTTGTCAGCAATATTCATGTTTTGCACACAGTCAATCAGGTCGAATGTGTCCTTCACAATATACTTTGTCATCATTCGTCTCACCGGTGTAAGTAGATCAACCAGCCAACTTGTGTTATGGTGAGTTGCACATGGATAGTACAGGTCTTAAAGGTGTGTTGGCCTTGTGGATCTTCGGTAAGCCGTACATTTGATGAGTGCGTGTCTCCATTTGTTTCTGTTATCATTTCATGTTGCAGCAACAATTTTAGTTGATTAGTCACCCTCTTTTCGATTTGTGTTAGTGGTTTCACTTTGGTCTTCCTGAAATTTGGATTCATCCAAGATGTCATACATCTTGTTTTTGTAGTCAAGCTTATTCATAATTGCGACCCCTGTGCCTCTGTCAGATTTTAGCACCAACACATCTCTTGCCTTCAGATCACGTAGGGTTTTGATGTGACTTCTATCTATACAACAGGTTTGGTGTATCGGGGCCAACATGTAACCGTTTGCAATGTCAACGAGTCAATTGTGCTGTTCCTTAGTTGGTCCAGTAGGTTTCCAAACTGTCTCAATGTGTATTCGGTCGACATTCTTTGGGGGAATCTTAAAATTCACAGTGAACTGAGGGAAAACAGACCGAGAGCACTTACTGTGCCCAAACTGCCTGTCTACCTTCAATTACTTTTCAAAGGTGATATCGTGGCCGCCCAACTTGAAAGACGTTTGCATACAGCGATTCACCGAACATTCAATGCCACCAAATTCTGTCCCATTTGGGAGACCAGGAAGTTACCTATGCCTCCAGTGAAGCCTACTCAACCGATCTCCGCCACAACCCATTGTATTTACCAATTCGTTTGTAACTGCGGAAGTGATTACATTGGCAGAACAGATCAATCCTAGGGTAAGCTCATTGGAGAGCATATCCCAAAACGGATTACTAGACTATCGACACAGCAAGCAGCCGAACAAGAAAAGATATCTAAGCTGCCAACATTATCTACCGCCAGACATCTAATCGAAACATGCCATCAGGTTGACCCTGGGTCAACATTTACAGTTATCTATCGAAATGAAAACCCCGAAGTTTTGAGGTTTGCCGAAGCTGTCACTTAATCGGTATCGCCTTAACCTTTGTGTACAGAAACAATTAACAGTCTCCTTAAAGCTTCCTTGAGGCTGATAATCCTAAGAGCAAGCTCGTTGATCTGTTATTTTTGCGTTTATGTAATTTTCCTTTGTGACCAGTTTCAAACCTTTGATTTTTCTGTCACGTGACTCGTATTTATGTTGTTAGTTTGCGAGGGCACAGATAACACGAAATGGTTCAATCTCGCAATACCAGTTTTCTAATTGTCTTATATAGAATGATAAAAGGAACGCAGTACTTTGAACAACTTAAATTTGTTGCACCGAGACGAAATATAAAAATACGACTGCGTGGTAAGACAACTATTCGAGTAAACGGCAAGAACAACTGTTTACCAACGGGAAACGCCGCATAGGTGAAAGTTAGTGAGTCACATGGGCGCTGAACCAGAAGCACAACACAACATCTATGGCAGACGACCAATAGCCGGCAGTACACACGCACGGGACAAGCGTGTGTGTGTGAAAAAGACGGTGTACCACCGTCTTCCTTTGTAGTTTGAGCTAGCCAGCATGGAAATGATCCACTGATCAGCTTTGGCGGGTAGAGCGACTTGGAGGCGTTTAGAGCGGTGACTCGGGGTCGCCACGTGTGTATCGATCAGCGCCGGTGTTTGCACTTTGACGAAATGAAATGCCTACTACTTAAGTCCTCGCTATAGAGCCAACATTTGATGCCTCGTTGCCAAGGTGTTGCTCGTTCTAAGGCTTTGTGATCTAAAATATACGAAAGAGCGCTTGATGCTGCAAACGAACGCGAAAACAACGAAGTTGTCGATAGATTGGCTTAACCATTATTACAATATTTGTTAGGATACCGCACAGCTGTGTGATTGAGTAGACTAGGTGTTGTGATCAGCTGCTTTGATAATAATGTTCACACTTCCTTCAGATGCAGCTTCGCAAGATACAAGTCGAGATTGTGATCTAGAAGATGGAGACGGGGACGCGTCCGCCGATGCACCCAACGAATTTCTGGATACACTGACTGGAGAACTTATGACGGATCCTATACGACTTCCATCTGGCATCTACGTCGACCGAACAAGCCTGCACCGGTTTTGGTCCCAAAGATTAGCCGCAGATGATAGCACCTTGCAACCACTAGATCCGTTTACCATGACTCCGCTGAGCGACACCGATTTGAAGTCAGATGAGCGATTGAAACAGGCCATTTCAACATACTTGGACCGGCGTAAGCGACTCAACTTCTTATGCAAAAGACTGGATAAGTGGCCCCTACTTGGAGTTTCCATGACAGAACCGTGTATTTCAAACTATGCGACATCCTCGAAGAAAGGAGACGCATTGTAAGAATCAAGTGATCTTTGTGAATTCTCCGGAACATTTTTATTTCTTTTCACTTTAGATACACGATGTACATAAGTACAAATCAGAAAAAAACATGCTATGTGGTGTTATTGCTTTTTCTCTCGTATATAGCTAGTGAAGGTGCTGTGAGGAGTTCCACAAACCTCCATAATCTCAGATTAGGTCTCACACGGATCTTACTAAAAGCGTCAACCGTGAACAGTAGTTTGAACTCCGAAGACAGATAGGACATCTGTTCTGCAGGTATCTCTGAAATGATGTGGGTGAAGCCAGATGCAAGTAGCTGTTGTACATCGTTCTCAATGTGCTCCGTTTTATTGTATCTAAAAATGCAAAAGCGGAGTCGTTGCATGAAATTGCAAATGAAGTTGGTGCAATGAACTAGTTGTCCATTTAGCGGGGATAAAATCACCAAAGTTTGCATTCAGGTATGGCGTTTTTCTGATGGATGGCTGATGTTCTTCACACAGCGTGCGGGTGTAAAATCGCTATGGTATAATAAATAATTCCGCTCGAATGTGCTTGTTGATACATGCCCATGCGACTTAGTTAAAATTGGTCACTTGATCACATCACACATATATCAAGACATCAGCACAATCAATACCAGTGAATGACTTATGGAATGGAAAATAATAAGTAGAAGAGAAGGTGAACTTAGTGTAAAGGTAAACACCCGATGTAAAAATGTAAGGTGAAGGCGCAGTCATTAGATGGAGCATCTTCCAATACTTTACTCAACCAACAATTAAGGCAAGTCGTATGCTCACCGCTGACTGCCGTTATCAATGCTGCCTGTATTGCTGGTCAAAATTAGCTGAGGTGCCATTTTGAAAGTGGCTGTTATTACTGCGAAGTTAGAAACCGGATCGAGTCACTAGACAAACGCACGGTCTGGGTGGTGAGCAGAATGATTTGTAATGTTAACCGTGGTTCTAAAATCGTACTTTTAACCACACAATACAATAGACTTAGGAATAAGTGAAACGACTCGCACCTAAAAACCCAGCAGTAAATCCGCAGAGCGTTCAGTCCGTAAACAGTGCGAGCGCGTACCAAAAATTATATCACACTAAGACAAAGGTAATAATGAGGCGGAATGTCGTAAATTTACAATTTTTAACATCATCATCATCATACTACACGTTAGCTGGAGGTGCGGAACACCTCAGCTACTGTGCCGCAATACATAGAAAAAAGGAGAAAAAAAGCAACTGGTGCAAGCTAGCTGAGCTACCGGTAACGGATGGGCATCGTTCCGGTAAGCTACCAGCCGGCTACTGTGCACCAAAAAAAGTTACTATGCAAAATTATATAAGGCTAAATAATGAGATCGTGGTTAGAGGGGGAGGCTAAGAGGGATGGGGTGGGACAAAGAAACTCAGAGCACGAATGCCACTGAGGTCGGCTCCTAGCCATATCAGCAAGTGTGTCCAATCAAACGTGTTCATCGTCTTTCGGACCCCAACCAGGGAGTCGAGACGCTCCACCCGAGGCCAGCTCAGAAGTGAGGGCCTTCATTCCTCTGGACCAAGTCATCGCTTGGCCACCCCTCCTCTTCTTCCATCCACACCCCCGGCGCGCAAACAACGCACGTCGCGGGAGTCGGTGGGCTGGCATGCGTAACACGTGGCCGAGACATCGGAGCCTGATGCGAGAAATAACGGTGCTGAGCGGTTCAGTTCCTTTTCCTGTGCCATAAACAAGGCGTCGAACACGCTCGTTGCTCACGCGGTATTCCCACCAGATGTGAGCTAAATTACGAAGGCACCGGTGGTCGAACGTAACTAGCCTCTTCAGGTCCGCTGCTTTAAGCGGCCAGGTTTCACAACCGTACAGTAGGGTCGAACGTACTGCCGCATTGTACACTCTACCCTTCAAGGCAAGAGTGATGTCGCGCCGGCGCCACAAGTGGCGAAGGTTAGCAAAAGCGCCCCGAGCTTTTGCTATACGATCCGTGATCTCATCTTCAATTCCACGGGCGCTGATACAACTTCCCAGGTAGTTGAATATTTTGAACGACTTCTAGCTGATCCCCACCAAGGATCAGCTTGGAGGAACGCTTTGTACTTCGAGGATGCGAAGCAAAGCCCGAAGTGACGGACAGCTAGTGCTAATCTGTCTAGTGCCGCTTGGCACGTTTGTGAGCTGTCACAGATCAGGGCAATATTGTCAGCATACTTCAAGTCAAAAAGTCGTTCTCCTGGGAGCAGATCCACACCTTCTAAGTCGTGTCCTGTAAACGCGATTTCAATGACTTCGTCAACAGCGAAGTTGAAGAGGAAAGGTGACAGCGGGCATTCTTGTCTCACACCGCTGGAGATATTAAAGGGCAACGACAACTTGCCGTAAGCCATCACTCTGTCCGAGCTACGCGCATATAATGCTCGGATAATATTCACATATTTCTCAGGGACACCTTTCCTGAGTAGACAGTCCCAAAGTGCATGTCTATCCACTGAATCGAATGCACCTTTGATATCGAGGAACACGACTACGGTGGGCCGCCAGTATGTGTGACGGTGCTCCAACAACTGACGCAAGGTGAAGATGTGGTCAATGCAGCCACGACCTCGATGAAATCCAGCTTGCTCTTCACGAATCTGGCTTTCACGAGTGCCAGTCAGTCGGTGAAGGATAACAGAGGCAAGCAATTTGGAGGCGATGGAGATCAGACTGATTCCTCTATGGCTACCGCATTCCGATCGTGAGCCTCCTTTGAAAATTGGGACTATGACGGAGCGGCTCCAATCGGTTGCGACAGTTTCCTGCTCCCACAGATTGACTAGTAACTCGTGTATATCATCCACAAGACCAGGTCCCCCGAATTTGAAGAGGGCTGGAGGAAGATCATCAGGTCCTGCGGCTTTGTTTAACTTCAACAGTTCGATCTCACGTTCGACTTCTGAGCGAGAGGGTGAATCCAAAGGGACAGCCCAGAGAGTGGGGCGATCAGTGGCCGGCGAGAAATCTAACCATTCCGACCGATTAAATTGCCTTTCAAAGTGCTCAGCCCAACGCTCTAAGCGTTTTGATAAGTTGTGGATAGGCTACAATTTTTAACAGAAATAGTTAGTAACAGAAATCGTGTAGATCTGAAAGCTGTCAAATTACAAAATTCAACTCTCAGTGCAATTGGACAAAATACCTCGACAAAGTTTCGCGCGCGCATTCTGCTAATGGACAAGCTACTCATTAATTGGCAGTAGAATTTATAATTCACACTCCCACCAACGTCATCGGCCTCATAGGTGGCTTCTTCGTTCTCTTCAAGTAGAAAGACTTGTCTCACATCTTCCCGGATTCTTCTTTTGTTAGTGCGGACAATAATTTCTAGAACCAGCACATCGCGTCCCATTGTTGCTTCTTCCACGATGCTCTTCGGCCACACCCCGTGTAAGTCTGCCACCAGAACCAAATCGCCAACCTTTAAGTTACGTCTTCGTCCGTGACATTTTTGACGTGCCTACAATGTAGGTAAATAACACTTCAGACAAATGCTAGACTTGCCGCCACTGTCTTGTAAGCCTGTTCGAGATACCTGTCCGCGCCGTCTCCAGGGACTTGTCAGCAGTCAAAGTTAAGAGCTGGCTTGGTGTTATGGTCCCGTGTTCATCGAGATGAGTGGGATTAGGGGTCGCTGACTGAGGATCCGTCCGATCTCAACAACCGTTGTCTGCATTACTTCGTCACTAACGAGCTGTCCGCCCAGTAACACTGGAAGTATTATCTGTATCGATCGGACTAGACGTTCCCAAACACCTCCACGACGACTGCCGTAAGGTTGATTGAACATCCATTCTCAGTTTCTCTCGCTTAGTGACATTTCTAATTTGTTTTGATTCCATGACTGAGTCAGTGCTTTCAACTCGCCTTCTGCCCCACTAGAATCGAATCCGATATCGCTGTAAATCCTTAAGGAAACCCCGCGCTGTGAAACAAATCGCGAGAAGGTGCACAGAAACGAGTCTGTGTCCATGGCATGGGTAATTTCAATATGAACTACTCTAACTGTAAGGCATGTAAACAGACATTCATAGCGTTTCTCTGCCTTAGTTTGACTGGCAATAGTCCAAAGTAATCAACTCCAACCGCTGTGAATGCCGGTTTAAATACCAGGGAACGGTCCTCGATCAATCGTGCCATCTGCTGCCCGCATGGCCGAGTGTACCAAATCTTACAACGTGCGCACTCTCCCAGTTTTGCGAACTGCTGAAGCGCCGCGTAATATACAGTAACGTTGGCGTAGCTCACAGTGTACGTGAGCGGGACGAACATACCCATTTTTCCGGTGACAGTCCATAATAATTAAACTAGTTACAAAGTGCCGGGATGGGAACAGCATCGGGTGCTTGGTGTCGTACGACAAGGGGGCCCAGTGCAGTCTTAGAATGCCGTCGCGTACAAACAGACACCATTTTGGTGGGCTCTTTGAGACGTCGTGTCGACACATTTAGTTGATTACCTTTTAGTGCTCGAATCTCACTTGCAAACGCTGATTGTTGGACATTTTGCAATATTTCAGCTTCCGCTTCTTTAAATTCGCGTAACATCAGCCCCCTTTCGACCGTGTTACTCGGATATCTACCGGTTTTCTGCGTCAAGTACCTCTTGAACTTGAGGATAATGGCGACGCGTCATTTAATCATGGTCCACTTACCACATTTTGCGAAAACTTTTAACCATGTATTCGTCAATTCTGTACAATGGATCCAGACGATTTCCTTCTTTAACCACTCTATCGGTACCGGCGGACTTTTGGATCACTGTGTGACGGATACTACTTTTGCTTCGGATTACTGTGCTAGTGTTTTTCTGTGTGATTTGTTCACCAATATTCTTCTTTTGGCGTATTTTCCAATCGGTGCAAATTTGGCGGCTATTCTTCGGCTAATTCCTGAAATCTCATCGATTCGCCCTACCGCGATCTTTGTCCGCCATGTTGGATTTATTCTACCTTGTGATGCCGTCAAGCTACTTGTGGTTCGTGTTCGGAAGTTGTGGGAAATAAGGCTCATGCACTTCGGCTGCAATGTTTTGTTCCATATTTCGCGCACTGACTTATCCGTTGACATGTTTCGGAAATCTTTCGACATCCGACATCGGTTTTTCCAAGTTATATGTGATAAATGTCGCGGTGCAAAACAACAGAATACACAGCGACCGCCAACAACTACGGGAAAACCACTCTTCCAGACAGAAACAAACCGTTCACCACGTGGGGTCAAACGCTCTCGTGAAAATACCTCTGTCACTTTACCTTCTCTTGTCATTCCGCGATCTGCACCACCATCAGCGTCTTCGAACCCGGCCGAGCCTCAGG